TTAGGTAATTGGCAAATGAGTAACTTTTTGAATGCAATGAAAGAACAACAAATTTAAAAATAAAACTAAAAGCATTTCTGACAATAATTGGCCTTTAAGCATTGGTATTCAAATTGACAGAAATGACTCGTAGTGGTTACATGTACTAACAGACTTATATTGTTAATTCATGCATATTTTCACGATTTTTAAAAATGTTTTACAAAGTATAATATTGACTAGTGAACAAAGGAAAGAATTTGCACATTGTAGACTCTACTCTATATTAAAATCTACTAAAATTACCAAAAAAAATCGGTCAGACAGAATATGCAAAAATAGGCTTTATTGTGTTAGTCACGCGATACTTAGAACTCTGATAATAAAATTTACAAAATTAGTTATTAATTGCATTTAACATGTAAATTATTTCTTGAATTGTGAATATTTTTACCACTGTTAAAATTTAGTTCAATTTTCTAAAAGTTTATTTTCTTGAACCATTTTGACTCATCTGGAGGCATATTTAACACTTGCTGTATGGTTGTTACAATAATTTTATTTCAATTATGTATGTCCGTACACGTATTTGTTTGGTGTTTTCTCTTGTTTTAAATCGAAGATTTAACCATATTTATCTATTGATTTATAAATGTATAGGTTATTTGTTTCCTAGTTTGTATTTGTTACCAAAGGTAGGTAATTTCTTTTTCTTTACTTGAACGTTATGAAATATTTTACGTATACGTCAGGCATCAGAAATAAAACAATAATCAGGAATTGTTTTTATATTTAATTATAACTTTTCTCTTTCTTTTCAGAAATTATATTAATACCTTCTTGAAAGTTAGCAAAATGTGTTATTTTTCACAATCATAGTTAAAAGCATTCAATTGTCCGGTCATCAAAGAGTTCACTATTTACTCAATATATACGTAAAACTAACAAACTTATACAAATGGCACAACTATAGTTTTGATAATTAGGATCAAACACTCAGCAGATGGTTAGAAAGTAGTTGGAATAAATTCCAGACACTACAAGATAACGAAAGAACAGTTGGTCACTGGAATATGTTTCAAACGATTTAGTACTGATGTTTAGAAAATTCACTTTAATTCATAATTTGAACACATTGCAGGATGATGCATTTAATTTTCTTATTTCAGTTTTAGTATATTATCTATTTACACCGATAGCTTTAATATATAAATGTAAATACATGTAATTCAGTGTTTTCAATATGGCCTTGTTATTGGCCTGAAGGCTGTCATATTAGTCTGAGGTCGAAGGCAAATGCCCAATAACAATGGCATTATGAAAACACTTAATTATTGACAATGAAATCAATTAACTACACATAAACTAAAATAGTAAATAGCTTAGTGAACAAAAAAAACTAATGTGAATTCCGTTGTTGTGAGGTATTGCAAACGAGATTCATGTTTTAAAAATGTCTTGCAGTGATTCAAAATGGAAACTTTTTCAATGAAAAAAAACAAACAGATTTGTAATGACCGAGTTGGAGACTGGAGAGCCAATCAAAATTCTCCAATCTCATAAAAGCCGAGTTTTTTTCCATAAAGGCGTACATTAATTTCAATTTGGAGGCCTCTGTTATATAGGGAGGGAAATCATTGCCGTCATTTCACGTGGACTTAACCGATAGTCTTTTTTTTAACAAACATATACTGACAAAACAGCGAACAGAGCAGACCATTATCAGACGACACTTGTCGCACAGGAAGCAGACGACATTTGTCCATAGGAAGCAGACGACACCTGTCGCATAGGAACCAGATGACATTTGTCCCTAGGAACCAGACGACATTTGTCGCAAAGGAACCAGACGACATTTGTCGCATAGGAACAAGATGACATTTGTCGCATAGGAACCAGACGACATTTGTCCATAGGAAGCAGACGACATTTGTCGCATAGGAAGCAGACGACATTTGTCCATAGGAACCAGACGACATTTGTCCATAGGAACCAGACGACATTTGTCCATAGGAACCAGACGACATTTGTCGAATAGGAACAAGACGACATTTGTCCAAAGGAACCAGACGACATTTGTCGCATAGGAACAAGATGACATTTGTCGCATAGGAACCAGACGACATTTGTCCATAGGAAGCAGACGACATTTGTCGCATAGGAAGCAGACGACATTTGTCCATAGGAACCAGACGACATTTGTCCATAGGAACCAGACGACATTTGTCCATAGGAACCAGACGACATTTGTCCATAGTAACCAGACGACATTTGTCGTTTAGGAAGCAGACGACACTTATAGCATGCTGTCAACCCTCAGGATTAATAAAAACATTTATATTCAGCTTCTTAAATTGTTCGAAAATTGACCTTTCTAACTTTATGAATCAATCCACGATACTGAATTATTCGCTACGGTGTCATTATAGCTTTAATAATGTTTTACCTCTCATCATTCATGATAGATATAATTTATTGACGTATACATATTTGTACATAGTCATTAATACAAAACACGTAGTACATAAATCATAATTCATGGTATGATCATATTGAAAACAAACATTTTTAAACGAAAGTATACCATTGAGAATGTTTTTAAGTCTATATCTAAACAATACAAAATTGGCATTGATCTAATTAATAGGTTGCAAAAATGACTGTCATATATTTAATATGCAGTGAATCAACGATTCAAAATACATGATAATTGAATAATGATACATCCCCCAACCCCAATAAATCATGGTTTCGGATCCTTCAGTGGGTGACAGATTCTAAAGTAAATAATAGTTCATTTACTTCATTTACATGACATTTGATTATTCATTTAATTTTCTAGTTTAACTAAATAGACAACAATTCACGAAGGAGATATAGATAATATGTATCTTTAAAGTTTTTCTAGACTAGAGTATTACTTTAAATCTGTCCGGTTTTACCCGATGCCCAAATTAACCCAGAGGTCCTTTGATTAAGTCATTATGATTATTAATTTGCGGAATTCCTCTGAAGTCAACATACGTGCATTTAGATAGATGTCCTAGCAAAAGTCGTGAAAAGTATATAAAAAAATGCAAATACTAATATTGTTTTTGATGCCTCCAATTTTTAACGCAAAGATTATTAAAATAATCATAGTAAGATTTTTTTTTCTGATTGTGCAGCTTATACTGCTTGTTTTCCTATAAGAGATAATAGCTATATTTCAATCTATTCTTTTTTAGAGCTCTTGGGAATACAATTGTGCCAAAAGTGATTTTTGATGCAAAATGATCAATAAGGGGCTTTTCGTGTATGTAGCTAATTTTCGTTAAGCATTTATGTAAAATTTGAAATGAAAAACTGCCTTATAAATATTTGTTCATTTAATGGAATGTTTTTTCTTCTTCTGAAATTGGGAAAACACAGAATTGCGTCTTTAATCAGCCCCTGTTGATAAAGCGGACATGTCCTTCCCATATATTCTTAATATTCTTAATCTGTTTTTCTCAGAATTGTTCTCATTCATAGATAAATGTTATACATAGTCGATACAGATAGAATTTCCATATTAAATCCAATATAATGGGTAAGGACACCGAAAAAAACCTGTTTTGTAACAATACGTTTTAGTCACGTCCGCGCGGCAGGTTTTATCGTAAATACCTTAATTAAACATAAAAAACCTCAATCTCTGGTAAATTGCAGATCAGCTGTCGTATCATATCTCGTTAAGTGATTAATTTGAAAATAGTATTCCATACTTATACGTCACTTGACGTATTGAGATATCTTAATAAATGTAAATTAACACTCTTTTTAATTTTTTGAAATGTCTCATAACAAGTTCACTTTTCCGAGTCATAAATTTCGCATTATATATATCACATATTATTACTTTGGCATTGCCTTGCAATTGAGGTTAGTTATGACTTATTAAGTGTGAAGATGCAAATTTAAAAGATCTTAAAAGGGATCAACTTAAAGTTAAGTAGGACTTTGTAAATCCTCATTAGAAATGTCAATTTTTCAGAGATGCAAAATGCACTTGCAACCATTTTCAGAGTGTAAAAGGGTCAGTCTTCTTTGAAAATTCTAATTTTAGTTCTGTTAATGACTTGATAGTCAATATAGTAGAATTGAACCATACATGTACACTCGTAAATTGCTGTTGTGGAAAAGGATTCGCCGTTTTGACCATCATAAATGTACGTCTGTTTGATAATTATGAAGGTTGATGGATCAAGCATACGAGAATAAAACAATTTATGATAGTCGATTGGTCGGTCGGCCGGCGCCAACCAGTCAATGAATCAACCAACCTACCAACCAGCCAGCCAGCCAGCCAGCCAATCAATCAATCAATCAATCAATCAGCCATCCAATCAATTTATTTACAGTTCTTTTTGCTTATTGAAAAAGATTAATCAATCAATCAATATTTTCATTCATTCATGCATTAATTAATTCATTCATTCATTCATTCTATTATTTATTTATTTATTTACAGGTTAAGATATTTATTGGGGAAAAACACAACAAAAACAACAAAGCTATTGATAATTCTATTAAGCCAATAGCTGTTTTGCTTTAAAGGCCTAACATGTCATCATATCCTGGTGCCACTTCTTACAAAACATCACGAAATAGCCAAACATTTAAGTGAAACAGAAACTCTTAAATGCCGAAGAAACATTGTATATGTTATTTTTTGGAATATTTCCTCTTAAAATCACATTGTTAACTTTTTAAAATTATGTTTCTAAAAAGTTCTAGATTCTTTCTTTTATCTTATGATTCTTTCTATCTTCTGTCTATCATCTTTCTCTTTTACTGTCTTTCTCTCAACTCTCTAACAGAATATAAGCACACAAACCCGATCCCAATCCATAGAGGAATGGTTGAGGCTGTGGAAGAACCGTCGGCATGGAAACTGGACAGGAGAAAGCGAGTTGATAATGCTATCAACAGAGTCAACAAGTCTTATGTAATAGACCCAAGGACCTACAAGGAGCCAGACATCAACGAGAGAGTGGATAACGAGTTCATGCCAACTCCACCGACTTGTCCAAAGCCGGCAAAGCCCCGGAAACACAACTTGGTGATCGTTGACCCCGAGAAGATGTTGAGGGAGAGGAACCTCATGCGTGGAGATTTCGCACCAGGTCGCCCACCAGGTCATGTTCCTGAAAGTTGCCAACAACCGCCTTGCCGCTCAGATAGCTGCCCCTATCAAAGGACACCGTACGACGTCTACGCACGATGCCTATGAAAGTGAATGTGGCCCAACCCCTTCTTCCTCAGTGCATAGTAGCTCTGCAGTGCCATCCAAACGTAGTGATCAACGCTACGCTTATGGACAGAGTGCAGCAGACAACTACCGTGCACATCCGGAACAAGTTGATAGCTATAACCGCGCTCAAGCCGGCCACCAGTCAACATCGTCGCATAATGTTACTGCGGCACCATCCAAACGTAGTGGTGTACCCCTGTATAACCAACGCTACGTTTATAAAAATGCAGATTATTATGACACAAGTCCGCAACACGCCTATGATAACCACTATGCAGAACAAGCAAGTGCATTTATATATGAAAACGGACCATTGCCCCCTCAAGACGCCTTTGAACGGCACTATGATGTCCATAAAACATCATCCAGCCCTATTGATGTTTCAGCATCACCCGTACGTAGTGGCGTTACATTGTACGACCAACGCGTACCAGCAGAATATCTTCGCGCGTGTCCACGGAACGAGGAAAGCCAACCATCTCACCTACGAACGACTGTACCAGACCAGGCTAAGGAATGGCGCCAGGACCACAACAATCGTGTCCACATGGCAAACGAAAGGGTCCAGCAAGAATATGTTGACTTGCCACGCTTTGATTATTACTATGAGCCAGAATCGGTCTCATCACAGGGTGAGATCGATCTTGATGCAAAACGCCAGCAGATGCATGCTAGAAAATGCATCGAAAAGCGGAGAAAGGAGGCTCTCCTTAAGAAAGCTGCTGAGCTTCAAGCAGCAAATCAGGCTGGTACCAACGTTCGAATGCCCCCTGGATCAAACCATGTGTACAAGCCTACTCCACCAACCACACGCTATCCTGGTGATGGCATGACAGGGAAAGAGACCAGCTATTCTGCTAAAACTGAGAAGCAGGTAATGTGATTTATCATTCTTGTTGTGTATTTTATCATTCATTATCTAAAAGAAATAAGTATGTATGTATACACAAATATGTATATATGTTAAGTAATTCAACATCAGCCGATACCTATTTGGCGGGAAAAGATGCTCAGAATGCAACTGGTATTTAAGAGCATTCTGGCAAGCATGCCTTTGATTTGCTTGTATTTAAGTACTCTCAGGAGAAAATAGTAAGTATGATTCCCATAACATGTTGAATTGAGTATATAACTTTGAGTTTCAATATGGCGGAAAAGGAGGTTCAAAGTATGCATTTGATTCAATTGAGCAGTTGTATGCCTTGTCTTTCTTGTAGACAGACATACAAATTATATATGTAAAAATATATATCATACAAGCACATACAACTGACTGCAACAGCTGATATCCGAAAAAAAGACCGAGTAGTATGATTGTGCTACTCGGAAAGTTATTTTTAGTAAGTCATTGTTAATTATTGAATACAGATTGAATCCGTTGACCATGCAATGTTTAATTAGTAATTAGTACTAATTACTATAAGAGACTGTCATCCGGTTCATAGAATTAAAAATCAGCAGGCATTCAGTAAATAAATATTTGTGTATCAAAATATTAATTTATTTATTGTAACTTGTAAGTGTAAAAAAGTAGTGCTTGTTACATTATTTTATTCATATTCAATGTTTATAATTATGAATGACAAAATGTGCTGTACTTTTTTTCAAATTTTACATTTTTTTATTACTTGTTTAATTAGTTTAATTATTTTATTCATTTGTTTATCAGCAACTTATCCCAAGATGCATCAAACCCACACACGGACCAACTATTCGTGTCGAGCCCCAGCTGACCTGGAATGCATCCGCAGCCAAGCGAGGTCTTGGATTCAAATCCAAGCTCCGACGAGAGCAGGAAGAAGCTGCTAGGCAGAATAAGACCACGGACAACAATGACGCCCCAAGGGGAGCCGCTCCATCCACGCCCCAATTGTCAGAGGACGCGAGGAGAAGGTGGAGAAATAAGACCATCGGCAATCAACCCTAGATTTGAAAAACAAAATAACATTATTAACTTTTATTAATTATTAATTATTTATTAATTTATTATTAACATTATAAATTAACATTATTTTTTCCCCAAAATTTCAAAATATATTCAAAATCCTATCACTTAAAAATATCACATTTCTTTTTTTATATACGCTGAAAATGTTTCACAATTTGGCTTCTGATAAAAAAGAAGATATTTTTCTCCACTGCCGTAAAGATGCTTACATTTTGATTTATTATTTTATAAAAATAAATTGTTGAAAATGTTTTCATTTGTCTCTTGTTCAGTATAGTAAAATCTATATACTGTACAGTATAGAATTAGATTTATATACATGTGTCAATGTGTACTACTGTAAAGAGCCACTTTTGTCTATTTGTTAACTGCATCGATGCCGATGGCGGCCATGTTTGATTTGCCATTGCTTAACGACAACATTAGTCATTACTGTAGCTCTACTGTACTGAGTCATTGCAAAAAACAACAACAACAGAAGCAAACAAAATACCCAAAAGTAGATCTACTCAATGCAGTTGATCAAAGGCAATACGTTTACTTGTAAATGACATCACCATTCAATGTTCAATTAATTAAACATATATAATTATAACATAATAATTAAAAAAAAAATCCTATCGTGGCTGATTTGTTCCGAGGCAAAAATACAAAAATAGCACAAAGTGACCACTTTTTCGCACTTTCGCTCAACTGCCAGTACAGTACAGTACGTTGCGCCAGGCGAAAACACTATCATACGCTTATCAAACCAATATTTAAGTATCTAAAGGTTATTATTTTGTTAGTCAGACTGTAAGCATTAATGAAATTAAATCTGGCCGCTTGGCACATTTTAATAGAATTAGTGGTTGAAACCAATGAAATCCTTCAATTTTTCAAGTTCCGTGGTAGCCTACATTATTATTTTAGTTATTTTAATATTCTAGAAAGCTTGTCGTGCAATATTATCCAATTAAATCAGCGTATCAAACTAGCTAGAGCTATGCACATACATTCATAATTAAAAACAATGTTTTGCCGTGCCATAGAATATATCTACATAAGAACGGAACGACCGCGGGCAAACGTAGGTCTATCTAGTCTTTGCTCTATTTTATTCGTGCAATTATAAGGTATAATAAAAAAGGTCTGATAATTCGAAATACTGCAATCTTACTGGACAAAAAGAATTTAAAACGAATCCTGCACAAAAAAATCAACGTTAGCCAATAACAATATACGAGTGGACAAATGGTGTGGACAACAATGCTTGTCATTTTCGTAAATAGTTCATAATATGAAAAATACATTACAAATAAGGTGCCTCATCTGAAAACCGTCATCTAAATCCACTATTTATTTTTGATAGTTTTGACGGTCAAATATGCGGGTACATTGACGCAACGCAAGGCTTGTTGTTTTGTCGAGCCAGGGTGTGCTTAATGTTGACTAAGAAACGGTAACCATTACAAAGTAACGATAAGTGCTCCTTATCAAGTGCATAGAACTATATTGACCACACTCATTTTCAGTGTAAAACAATTTTCTTTATTATTAATTTATAATTGCCTTCAGTATTTTTTTGGAAAATAAAGCAAGCATAGACTCGATGTGGACGTTATGTCCTATTTCAACTTAAATGAGTTCGGCGGCTTGGACATTAGAAGCAAGGGTCGTGGCTAGTTAAAGATACATGTATGTGCAGAAGGATTAATGTTAACCTTACACACAAAGATATAATGATATTGCATAAAATCTTAAGCACTCTTATTTCCCTTTTTTGATTGAAATCTATACAAATTGGTTATTTAGGTAATAAATATCAAATATGAGCTAATGCACTCTTCGAGTTCAAATGCACAAGATTAGACTATATATAATTAATTACAAATCGTTTGAACGACAGACCGGACATTTTTATACAATAATGTAAGAATCATTAATAATTATCTATTTTCATTCTAACATGGATAAATAATCATCATTTGTGTGTTTGTTTAATTGGGTTTTACGTCACACCGACACAGTATAGGTCATATGGCGACGTTCCAGCTTTACTGGTTGAGGAAGACCTCAGGTGCCCTTCCGTGCATTATTTCAGACACGAACGGGAGCCTGAGTAGAACCACCTACGTTCCGTAAGCTAGTTTGATAGCTTCCTCACATGAAAGAATCCAAAGTCCCTATCGGGATTCCGGGGATTCGAATCCACAGCGGTGAGAGGCAAGTCGTTTGAAGTCAACGACCTTAACCACTCGGCCACGGACGCCCCAAATCATCATCATAAACATGATAAATGATAAAACTATGTTAAACTAAATTGTGTGTAGTAGTAATTTTCTTGCAGCCAATTGTATAAACAATTTAACCGCGCGGTAATTTAATATATTTCCTATATACGCTCTATAATGTTCCTTTTTAATTATAAACCTATAAATTTAATTTGATTTGATTTCTCCATTGGTTCCCATCTTGGCTGTGCATTACGTATTATTTGAAAACGGGTACCTATGCTACTGAGGGCGTAGCCTCTTGTGCATAATTCATCCTCATTCATGAATATTAATTCTTGACAATAATATTTTTGTTTGTGAAATAACTACAAGAAGTTCAGTAGATTAAATATTTTGTCTTAGAATTGATAGGTATATAATAAAAGGATAATCATGTTGTAGTAGCTTTCTAAGGCGATGTATTTTGCTACTCGCAGCGAGATATTAAATTTCCGACGCTGCTCGTAGCAAAATACAAAGCTTAAGAAAGCTAATTATACTACAACATGATATTTCGTATTGACCGAGAATAAGTTGTTGATGGACACAAAATGACGTTAAACCGCCAAAACGTCAATATATTTACGTGACGTCATTTTATAAAAGGTTAATCAAAATGGCGGCGCCCATTACAATGGTTCCTGACTTAAAAATTTATTGTTAGGTAAGTTTGTATCAATTTATTTTTCATGACAGTGTTAAGTAACTCGGGCCCAATTACTCTAACATTGTTTTATTTACGGATCTATAAAAATGGTACACATTTCTAGATAAGCGATCCCCGGAAGTCATGATATTGTTTTCTAAATTTCTATACTGTACTGTATACTTATAAATATAATGTTGAAAAATATTGATGTGTCACAGGGTGAGAAAAAAAATTGCAGACTGACCGGGACTCGAACCCGAGACCCTCGGAATACCGTTCCGCGTCTCTTCTGACGTTGTTGTCTCTCCTAAATAGTGAACAGTTCTGAGCCATGACAGATGAAATAAAATGCGCATTTTCATTTTCCGTATATTCACTGTAATTTTTTTCCACTCCAGCGAAACATATTTTCCGTATTTTCACTGGTGTCTTGCCAGACTACTTCGTTCTTGATACACAGAATTAAAGGAGAGGTTAAAGAATTATAAGGTCAAAAAAAAGAAGTGCACTGTATACTATTCAGTATACAGTATAGATCTATATAATAAAAAGAAAATTCAAGTTTTTTTACTATAAATTTAGGGTGTATTTTCATCTTGTAAAATGAAAATATTATTGTCATATTTCACTCGTGGCTACAGTACCGCCTCTCTTGAAATATTTATTTCCATACCACTCGGTGAAAATAAATCCTGTATTTTAAGAAAAAAAATTGGCCTCTATACAGTATAGAGTGTTATTTAGCTTTTTAAAATATATATTCTATGACATTTATTCTATGCAAATTGCATAGAATAAACCAATGAACGCGTGCCGGTAAAATGCATTCTACCCACAACTACAACAAAAATCAGGAAAACACTTTGATCGCTTGTTTCGCGCTCGAGTTTTTTTAGGGTCAGCTGAGCTTATATGCTTATGTCATATTTATCTCAGTATTGCCGCGCCATTTCCTACTTAAGTTACAATCTTAGTGCGGAATCCATGGCTCGTCGTATCACCGTGTTCAGGATATTTTAATAAATTATGAATTCAACTCGTGCACATCAACTTTCGTATTTCATTTAAAGCTCGCAGTATGTTGTTTCTCTTTTAGGACAACAATTATAACCAGCAATATCAACGAAAATTGTGAGTGACCTAGATTGTGAATCGGAGCATTTTCCTTTGAAGTTCTCAACAACAAAAAGAAACTTCTTTTGACAAGTCTTTTTCATCAAAAATACGAATAATAATAATAATAATAATAATAATAATAATAATAATAATAATAATAATAATTACAATATCTTTATTTAAAGAAGGTAACACATGAAGATATACCATCGAAGAAAACAACATATCTTAATTCTAAATGTGGCTTCCTAAACAATATACATGTATAGAAACAAAACACAAAACAGCATAAAACAATAACAACTACTTAGTATTCCATTAAGATTTTGTCCTAAAACATTTTTTTTTAACAAACGCCCTTTTTAGATGTTAAATATCTTTTATACAATTTTCTTAATTCTAAATGTGGCTTCCTAAACAATATACATGTATAGAAACAAAACACAAAACAGCATAAAACAATAACAACTACTTAGTATTCCATTAAGATTTTGTCCTAAAACATTTTTTTTAACAAACGCCCTTTTTAGATGTTAAATATCTTTTATACAATTTTCAGGACATATCGTTAGTAGATCTACCACGAATCAAACAGTGTCATATTGACAAGAGATAATTAAAACCTATATCTGGGTAAATCCACAACCACACAAAATACAATAAGAAATATTCTTTTCAATTTTGCTACGGTGGCTACCCCTTTGAATTTAAAGAAAAAATAAGGAAAGCTGATCTTAGCAATCTGTATAATTTTAGCTGAGCTTCATATGTGCTAAAGTGATCCATATGTGCATGTTATTAAATTATATAAAATATTATTATTATGTTATTTCAGGAAAATGAGTCACCCCTTCTTTGTGGGCCTGTCAGTGGTTTTAGTAGTATTCTTAATTCTGATGTAAGTATATTTCTTCACTCTTAAAGCAGCATGTCTCCAGCTTCATGCTTATTATCATTAAAAATTGGAAAATGTATTTAAAAAGTAAAATATTGGTAAGCGAACAACAAAGAATATAAAATTACACATTGTGCTTTAACAAACCACATTAATTACCCCCTCCCCCCCCAAAAAAAAAAAACAAAAAAAAAACGCAGTAGACATATGGTGATAAATACTGCAAAATCAGGCCTTAATCACACATAACATGTTAATTATAACTTAAGTCTTGAATCCTTGTACGTTTCTTAAATCTTAGGACATTTATTCAAGCTTGATTATCTTTTAATATTTTGGCTTTAAGCAGGATTTTTAACGTTTATGTGTTGGCTTTAGATTTGATTTGTAAGGCAAATACAATTTCACGTGACTTACGTCCAGCGGTTTAATACAATTCACGTTAATGACATTTAAAAATGCGACGACACGGCATTTCTCAGAAATTAATTCGAACTAAATCTAACTATTTCCTCTTAAAAAAATGAAAGACAGACTTAGCGTTTTCGGTGCACTGACCTTTTTATTAAATTTCTTTTCCACGCTATATATTATACTAAATCTAAGTCCCGGAGATTTATTAAAAGCCAATAGTGATTTAAACTTATGATACGTCAATCGAGCTGACGATAACTTTTGCAGACGATAAATGCAGAACAGATCAGATCTTATTGTGCAAAATGAGTCAAAGGCTTTAAACGAAATCGGGCTAAAAACCGCATTAAAATCGTATTTAAATTTAATTCCGAGAATATCTCTTTATTTCCCCAATTTGAAGTGCGTCAATTGATTAATGTAAGAACCTTTTTCTGCATTATGATCCCAGCGGTCGTGATTACGAAAGTAGGAGGATCTGATATTTTGGAATAAAATGATTTTATATTTTGCACACAATTTATCAGTCTAGACATTTATGAAATGTTAAAACAATTCTCGAGCAAAAAAAATAGTTCCAGTCCCTTTATGTTAGAAATAATTTCCTCAGCTAAGTCCCTTTAACATATAGACAGTATACTCGTCCAACTAGAATTTAGTTCACAAATGCTCTAAATCATGTACAAACATCATATTATAGAAACAACTAACATATACATGTACCACGTTCCATGCTTGTTATCATTATTCTATATGATTTTGCTTAAATTTTGTTCATTTTTACATACAAGTAAATTGAAAATTGCAATTTGCTGTGAACTTTCTAATATGAAATAAGTATAATCGAAAGACACAATATAAAAAAATTGAAGCGCGTTTTTGTAAATAAGTCATACCTGTGAAAAATGACAAGAAGAGTCCCATGGACCTCTACTCACTTTTCCAGCCTCGAGAAAGTATTTTTGATATTTTTGAACTGTTGGGTATACTGTTTATATACCGGTAGAGCGATTCCGACGGCGCTACACGACCGCCAAGGCAAGATTTGATGTATGGATTTAAACAAAAGTCACAAGGAGAGATGTTAGGACTATAAGCGAGATGTAGCAAAATCTCAATTCTCTGCTCCTATAAATAAGCGTGAACCAAGGCTGACCGGTGCACAGGTGCACTATCATGAAGTAATTTTATCCTGGGCACCCCGGACCTTGGGTTCTTTGTTATGTCGTGATTAACCACAGCAGTGAGAATATGGTCACGGTAAATGTTCAAGCGAAACTACCCCTCTCATGCACAGCAACTCGGACCACTATTTCATCACTGTCGATAAGATAGAGCGCACATAACTCTTTTAACGCTCTTGCTATATCGAACAACAACTGGGCCATCGCTGTTTTCACCTAGCCACAGTTTGTTACTGTGTTATTGTTATTGTCGGGCTAAAAAAAGACCACCTTTCATTCGCTGTGACAATTTCTCTCAGGTGTCTTGGGTCTCAATCTTTGAACCTAGTCAATAAGGCCGAGGCTTTTTCAAACCGCTCCCTTTTCTGGTCAAAGTTAGCAAACGCGGGATCCAACGGGCGCATATTTTCCTTAACTTTATATTTTCTTTCAAGATGGAAAACACCTAATGACGCACTAAGGCCCGATATGTCATTTATCTCCTTCACGGTATATCTTGCATCTTCATAAACTATTAACTATGGCTTTGACAATGCTGTTGTCTTTTTTTTAGAGGTAGCAGCTATTGGCTGCCCAGGGCGGGTATGATCCTTAACATTAGTTCTACCTTCCTTAAACATTGACGCCCACCTGGTAATTGTACGATATGGAAGCGCAGTTTCTCCATCTGTTTTTATTTCTGACGCACATTTACCCAATAACCTACGAATTCAGCAATAAGACCATTGCATCTCTCTCAAATCACAATGCAACTCAGCCATGACTTGTTTACAACCAGTATACAAAACCACGTGTATTTAAATGACCTGTTAAAATTTTGCACGTGCAAATCGTGCGAAAATGGACTGTTGGTTACAAAAATAAATAATTTGTTCAACGGTGTACTATAAATGTCACTACATGTAATTGTAAGATTATATAGAGGATATTTGTTTAGTTCAGTGTAAGATCGGAATATATTTCACCGAGTGAGCACCAAAAGGTATATTTCACGAGTGGCGCAGCCACGAGTGAAATATGAACTTTTGGTGTTCACAAGGTGAAATATATTTCAATCTTACACTAAACTAAACAAATTTTCTTTTTAAAACGTTTCTTTGCATGTAATAAAAAGACAATAAATCTAATAATTAATGAAAAGCGCGCCAAATAATAATGCAACGTGACGTCATTTACGACGTCACGTCATTAAGTTGGTACCCAGTACTGTGCACGCTGCTATTTTACTGAAACAACGTAAGGGGCTTAAATTAAAAACAGTGAAATTATCAAAGTGGTAATTTCACTGTTTCAAACAGTGAAATTACCAGTTTTATATCACTGATATATTTCTATAAACCACCGAAAAGCATGTAATAATAAAGTTTTCATTCTCATACATGTATCTTTACATTATGTTACTGTCGCTGAGCAAACATTTCTTCATTTATCAAAGAAACGCCGAAATAAGCTATGTAAGTTAAAGCAACTTTAATTCGGCGGAGTATCTTTTTCAAGATACTTCTTGTTATACCCCGCCGAAAAATTTCGGCGGAGGATATAGAAATAGTCTCCGTCCGTCCGACCTTCCGTCCGTCCGTCCGTCCGTCCTTCCGTCCGACATTTTTGTCCGGGGCATATCTCTAAAAGTATTTGAGTTATCAACTTGAAACTTCATAGGTGGATAGACCTCATTGAGGAGGAGTGCAGTGCACAAGAATGATAACTCTACCTTGCATGATTTTTGAGTTATTGCCCTTTGTTATTTTTCAAAATTGATTTTTGTCCAGAGCATAACTCCAAAAGCCTATGAGATATTAACATGAAACTTCATAGGTGCATAGATCTCACTCAGGAGGTGTGCAGTGCACAAGAATGATAACTCTACCTTTCATAATTTTTGAGTTATTGCCCTTTGTTATTTTTCATACCTAATTTTTCACCTGAGTGGAGCATAACTCAAAAAGTGTTTGAGATATCAACATGAAATGTCATAGGTGGATAGATCTTATTGAGGAGGAATGTTGTGCGCAAGAATGATAACTCTTCCCTATACAATTTTTGAGTTATTGCCCTTTGTTTTTTTATCATGCTATTTTGCCCAGAGCTTATCTGAAAAAGTATTTGAGGTATCAACTTGAAACTTCATAGGTGGATGGATCTCATTGAGGAGGAGTGCAGTGCACAAGAATGATAACTCTACCCTGCATAATTTTTGAGTTATTGCCCTTTGTTATTTTTCATTCTATTTTGTCCAGACTTTATCTCAAAAAGTATTTGAGGTATCAACTTGAAACTTCATAGGTGCATAGATCTCATTGAGGAGGAGTGCAGTGCACAAGAATGATAACTCTACCTTTCATAATTTTTGAGTTATTGCCCTTTGTTATTTTTCATACCTAATTTTTCACCTGAGTTGAGCATAACTCAAAAAGTGTTTGAGATATCAACATGAAATGTCATAGGTGGATAGATCTTATTGAGGAGGAATGTTGTGCGCAAGAATGATAACTCTTCCCTATACAATTTTTGAGTTATTGCCCTTTGTTTTTTTTTCATGCTATTTTGTCCAGAGCTTATCTGAAAAAGTATTTGAGGTATCAACTTGAAACTTCAAAGATGGATGGATCTCATTGAGGAGGAGTGCAGTGCTTAAGAATGATAACTCTTCCCTGCATTATTTTTGAATTATTGCCCTTTGTTATTTTTCAAAATTAATTTTTGTCCAGAGCATAACTCAAAAAGCCTTTGAGATATCAAAATGAAACTTCATAGGTGCATAGATCTCACTCAGGAGGTGTGCACTGCACAAGAATGATAACTCTACATTTTATAATTGTTGTGTTATTGCACTTTGTTCTTTTTCATACTTAATTTTTCAATTCAATTTTTTTCTCAAAAAGTATTTGAGGTATCAACTTGAAACTTCATAGGTGGATAGATTTTACTGAGGAGGGATGCAGCACACAAGAATGATAACCTACCCTGCATTATTTTTCAGTAATTGCCCTTTGTTATTTTCAGCCATCAGTATTCACATAGGTTTCAAATCTGTAATCACTATAGCCATCAGTTTTCAATTTTTTAACTACCAAAAGACCTCTTAAAATGGAATTATTCCGCTCTACTACATATACATTCTTCCAATGAGCAAACACATTCGGCGGGGGATGGCCATGTTGACATGGCTCTTGTTTATTTTTAAAAAGTGGGGAGGGAGGTTGATTAAGTACAGCTAAAAGGTCGTCCATATGTTTCTTTGTAATCTAGATTAAATCCTAGTTTGAATTCTTTTGTAAGAGAAATGTGTCAAAGATTTTTGTTTATTAGTAATCACAGATACTAATGAAGTCAAAGTATCCGTGCGTGTGATGTTATCTCAAGCCATTTTTTCAGATTGTATCAGTTTTTCTAATAAGCACGTGCGCTTTGTATTCTGAATTGCAAGGCCTTTTTCACACATTTCATGCACGTAAGGAAATGATAAGGTTATTATACATTGTTGAGTACAATACTGACTTCTATATTGGACTACATGTATATTTTATGAGGCACTAGACGAGTCTGATATAGGTTTAGTAGTTGTGTACGAGTCCAATAGAAATAGTTTTTCTCAACATTATATATAATAATGACCTCTTCATTTCACACCACCATTTTGACATAAGTTTGTTACTTCAAGTATTTAAGGATTTGATATGGATTTTTGGACTATCAAAAATACCCAAAGCACAGAAGGCACTGAATTTGTTTGGGTCTCAGAATGTCAGTGAGACTATAAACCAATTTGTTTTTGTATAGTGCCATCAATGCTTTCCAGTGTTTTAACTGTAGTAAATTGGCTATAAGACTAATTGCAACACTGATATTCAATTCAATTTTTATTTGACTTAAATTTAAAAAAAAACAAACTGGGATTTGAACTTCAGACCTCTCGATTCCTAAGCGAGCGTGCAAACCCCCTCGGCCACGGTGAATTTATATGTTATTGACATGAAGAAAACCATATTATTTTAAATTATTATTTCGACGCTAAACCTATTGTTTTACACAGATGTAAATAATCATGGAGCTTACTATAAACATGTATATCTATAAAGAATAAAACAATATTAGAAATCGTCGACCATTCGGGAACTATTTTGCTTGAAAATTAATGCGCCTGTCATTTGACAATCTTTACGCAGTGATCTCCCCTGAGTTTTTCGGCGTTAGTGTACATATAAAGGGAAGTTACCGCTTCAAAAAGCGGACTACTTTCGGCATTTGCAATTTACAGCATCAGGGTCTGAAATTTCGCTACCATTATTTGTTTGGTCTGACGACCCAAACAAATAAAAACGAGGCTCGATAGAGTATGATATGCTTTGATATCGATTTTAGAATTTTGGACTCTAAAAAAGGGAAAACGAGGCTATATGGGCTACGATATGCCTTTGATTTTTTTATTTGTACTCTGGAAATGAAAACGAGGCTTAGATTGAATCCAATAATGACATGTGTTGGAACATCATGTGGTGAAAGTTTATTTGTTAATTTTAATAAGGTGTAAAATAAAAGCATATACAGAAAAATTCAACCCGGTTTTTATCGCATATCCGTGCCGCTTTTGCGACTCTGTAAAATATTGCAATGGCAATTACATTATACAAACATAGGGTTAAGACGAGCAAAATGTTTATGTTTTACCGTAAGAGTGTAAATTAAAAAGACTGGAATCAGTTCTGATTTTGGATATGTGATAATGGAAATATTTTATTCGTGAAAGCTCATTACTAAATTTATTGAACTCAGTTTTAAATCAACACCACTCATTTAATTTTCTTTATATATATATTTAAATTAAATATCAAACAAATGCGTTGATTTAATTGAAAAAAGGATGAAGAAGAGCTATTTTCCACTTTCATTACTTAATTTCATTCTACTTAAAGCAGCACGCCTCCAGATTCATGCTAATTTTCATGAATTTTTTTTAAATGTATTTGAATGTGTAATATTGTGAAGTAACCAAAAGGAAGCAATTTACACATTATCAATGGCATTTACAAACCACGTTAATTACCAAAAAGTGGTCATAATATGCATAAATATCCTTTACTGCGTTACTAACGCAGTAGAATTATAGTTGTAAGTACTTAAAAATTAATCGCACATAATATGTAAAATATTACTTGACTCTTTGAACTTTTTATTTTTCCTTACATCTTATTATATATAGTACATTTTCCTCAAGTTTGATTTTATTGAAATATTCTGACTCATCTGGAATCATGTAGCTTTAAATCAAGATAAATTCTGTATCCTATTCGGGGTTATATAATAAAGCAATACGTGTTGTGTCTACATTAAATTGAAACGAGGGTCGGGCGTCATGGGGGGGGGGGAGTTTATTTATAACAATGTCATCTATACATTTTGCGATTTTCATTGCACGTTAAATCTGATGTTCTTTCCCTTCTGGCTTTGCATATTCTTTATTTCCAGATTTGCGTTCGGGTGTGCCTTAGCTTGGACAGAAAAGAAGGTGAAGCATTAAATAGCTTTGATTTTTTTATAACCATCTAATTCCGGTATTGAATTAAGTTGTTGAAGGTTGGGGGGACTTTTGGTGTTCAGAATTTGGTGGTGTTGGAGATTATTGTAGCGTTATCTTGAAGATTTGTTGAGTTAAGTTGATTGTCTTGAAGATTTTGTTGAGTTATAGAAGTTGATTTTCTTGTTAATTTGTTTGTGTTGAAAAGTTACTTGTGTTGCAAATAGTTTATGTTAAAAGTTTGTCTTTAGGATATTTTGTGTATATTAAAGCTTGGCTGCGTTGAATATAGATTGATGAGACTTTGGTTGTGTTGAAGATTTGTTGTGTTGTAAATGACTTAGATTTTATTCTGTTAATGATTTGGTTGTGTTGAAATTCGCAGTGTTATAGTTTGTCCTGATGTTCAAATGTTGAGTGTTTTGTAAATCGTTTGTGCAAAGAAAATGGTCTTGTAGAACATTTAGTAAATTAAAGACTGCCTAAGATCTTTATTGTGTTGAAAATTAGTTTGGTTGTCTTGAATATATATTGTAACGAAAGTTTGATTGTATTGAAAATTGACTTGTGGTGGAGGTATTTTTTTTTTGCTGAATACGATTATGTTTGATAAGGGTTGTCTTAAATTGATGTCTCGTTGATTAGCTGTTGGACATTGAACTGGGTTGTAGATCGGCTGTTCCAATAATTTTATTGAGTAAAGAACTCACGTGTCACATATGATATTCAAATTTTGTTTAAATTACCAGACTAAATTATATATTTACTTATCTATATTCCACATTTTAGTAATATATTATAAAGCTTTGGTTCCCACACATGAAAATCAAATTAAATTTACTTTGTAGAAAGACCCTGACATTGCAACAGAAAGATTGTTGAGTTTAACTCCGCGTAATGAAAGCAATAGCTCAAAGATTCAACGATCATTAAAACGCCCCCCGAAGACATACCAACAACATGGAATGCACGTTTATAACAGACACGATGAAATGCCTGTACATGAAAATGAACGTGTGAACCTACCTGATAAAACATGGAATAACCGAAAGTCTCAATTTTGTTGCGGGGACATAGATGGTTTGTTTGAAATAGACAAAGAAACTGATTATCTCAACCACAGAAGCAGTTACATAAACAGTAAACATTTTAAGTCAAGCAATGATTACCAGAGCCTAAACAGGCGTCAGGGCGATACGACTACTGGAGTGCACAAAACAATAAAAACCAATAATAAACCAACAGATTTCCAACGAGTGCATTATGTGAATGGAATAGAAACAGACGCCGGTAGAGTCCATCCGCCTAGAAGAAAACTCTCAGTTAAGCAAATGGTGGAAGAAGCAAAACGGATAGCGCAAATGGGCCAACAACATGAAACAGGCTTTACACTAAACAGTTGTACAGTAAATACGCAAGCGTCCCGATCAAAAGAAGACATCAAATTGCCAAAAAATCAATCAACATCTTACAGACCTGTTGAATTAAATGTCAATGGACAAGATATTCATAGGAAAAGACCTTCAGAAAAACAGAATGCACAACTAAAAGGAAGTACCGACGATTCTTTTGTAGACAGCAATGGATATTTAACTTTGCACGGGAATGAGTATCCTTTCAACTCATATGACCACGAAAGTCTGCCGTCATTTCCATATCATCGTGGAAAAGAAAATTATTTATCTCAGCATGATAGTGACGGATACGCTGTCGATACATCATTAGACGGCTTGTCTGAAGGTGAATCAATCAGTAACTACACACAGTCTCCTAAAGGGCCATCAGTTAAAAGGGATAATGAAACAGTCTTATCACCGTTATCTAACAGGCAGTTGCATAGTAGCGAAAAACTTTCTTTGAAAGCAATTCCAAGCAAACGAACCTTGGATGATTCGTCAGATAAGGTTTTACCTCCGGAAATAAACCAGGAGTCGAGTACGTTTGATGATTTATTCACTAGTGAACTGAAAATGGGCATGGAACAAGTTGCTAGAGACAGAGCTTTTCAACAGCAGTCACCAAAATCAAAACTTAGGTATTTACGACGAATGTGGGAATTAATGCACAGAGTGTTTCCTTCTTTTATAAGCTCGAAGCCTGCATCAAATATACCATATGATCGGTTGTCATCACAAAAGTCAAAAAATATTCCAGCACCAGTTCCCGGCTTGCCACCAGCATCTGAAATGTCACCTAGAGGTTCTACAGACTCATTAACATCGGTTTCTAGTATGTCAACAAACAATTCTCAACAGTCACCAGCATCTGGTATGTCACCTAGAGGTTCTACCCAGCAACAAACATCAGTTTCTAGTATGTCACCAAACAAGTCTCAGCAGTCACCGACATCAGTGTCTGCACATGAACATGTTAAAGTAAGTGAACCAACACCTGAATCTGAATTGTCTACGGTAAAGGAAATATCACCGGAAGAAAATATTAAACACAAAACACCATTCGTTCTGACGAGAATAAAACAATTACCTAAATCAGAATGCACAGAAAAACTGTATCACAAAAATGAAAATCATCTTTTTAAATCCATGCCCCTAAAAAATAAGAAAGAACAATCGAACCCTGATACTGATACCGAACAACAAGCAACTGATATAAATTGCAATCAGGAAATAATAAATGCAGCAGCAAACGAACCTGAACGTAAGATACAAACTACACATGCTTCGATACCGAACGAGATAGAACAGGAATATCAATCAGTAAATGTTATACATAACTTAAACAATAAAAACACACATTTAAAATTAAAACATAACGAAGATAGTAAAAACCATCAAATGACAGTCATCAGTGACAATGTAAAGGCGAAACAAACTTGCCAAGATACTAGTTATGAACAACAATCATCAGACATTTCTGACGGCACAAAGAAACAAATAACAAAACGTAGCGAATACATACAAACGCGCGAATTTGATAGCAGTCGTGAGATGGTTCATCTACCCACTACACCTAAAACGTCACCATCGGACAATTCTATTGATAACAAACTTAACAAGGATGTCCAAAATCACGATGAATGGGATTCGATTGTAACAGATAGAAAGGACCTTGAAGGTCAACACTACATAGATAATGTTTTATCAGAATCCGACTTCAATCCCGGCAAAACTTCAACACCTCAAAAAAGCGGTACAGATTTCTTAGAAAACGAAGCTATTTCTTCCATCAATAGCAAAACACTGCCATCACAACAGATCATCTGTTCAAACACGCCTTCAAAGGGTAACTCTCCGTTAGGCAATGGTCCTGCACTACATTCAATATTAAAGAAGCGTCGAGGAGCAATCGCTGGAACAAGTAAGGACATATCCAGGTATAACAATGGTGTCTCGTTTTGGGACGATAAAAACGCTGAAGAGACGCTTCATGACAGCCCGACTGAAGAACAACCGAAAACTTCAACACCTAAACAAAGCGGTAAAAATGTCTTAGAAAACGAGGCTATTTCTGCCATCAGTAGCAAAACACTGCCAACACAACAGGATATCACTTCAAACAGTCCTTCGGGTAACTCTCCGTTAGGCAAAGGTCGTGCACTACATTCTATATTAAAGAAGTGTCGTGGAGCAATCGCTGGACCATATAAGGACATATCCAGGTATATCAATGAGGTTTCGTTTCGGGACGATAAAAACGCTGAAGAGACGCTTCATGACAGCCCGACTGAAGAACAACCGAAAACTTCAACACCTAAACAAAGCGGTAAAAATGTCTTAGAAAACGTGGCTATTTCTGCCTTCAAGAGCAAAACACTGCCGTCCAAACATAATATCTATCCAAACAGGCCTTCAAAGGGTAACTCTCCGTTAGGCAATGGTCCTGCACTACATTCTATATTAAAGAAATATCGTGGAGAAATCCATGGACTAAGTAATGATCTGTCTAGGTATTACAATGAGGTTTCGTTTTGGGAAGATGAAAACGAAAACGCTAAAGAGAAGCTTCATGACATCCCGACTGAACAACCGAACACATCAGTTCATGAGAATGGTTTTGGTATGCTTTCACCTTCCTTGTCAGAAAAAATTGCTATGGTCAAATGTATAAAAGATGATCCAGATGTCAGTGCTTTACTAGACAATATCAAAGGAAAAAGAAGATTGAATGTTCAAACCTCACCTGCTTAAAAGTTTGTTTTCAAAACTGGAATATAAAGCAATTTTAAAGTCATATGGTTGCCATATTAAGTTTCTTAAAATCTTAGGGACAGGTGTCAAATTACATGATTATATTTTAAGTCCTATACATGTATATGGAGTAGAAGTAGCAAACTTACATAAAAGTTGAATACTTATTGTACGCCAGATTTTAATATGCTTTATAAATCATTGTTTACTGAAAATGTGTTATCATTTCTGTTTTACCCATATATAATGCAATCATTGGTTGTGGTGTACTAATTTATGAGAAATCGTTGACTTCAGTTGACTTTCATTTATTATGAGTATATGAAATTTAGCAGGAAATAAGAAATCGTAGGTACACTGTACACATGATTTTTTCAAAGTCGTTAACCTTGCCTAATATGGCCATGCATTTACAAACTTTAAACAATGTTTTAATTAAAGAAATTTGATGAATAAACAGTGATAAATGTTCAAATATGCATCGAACGCTGGTGAAATATTCTATTGGGAACGCAATATTTCAAGTGCTCAATAAAAAGCCAAATACAAAGCGACTTGAAAAAGAAATTAATTAGTTCTAGAATACTAATGTACTTTTTCTGAACAATTAACTTGAAGTCTAACACACTTTATACGGATGTTACTAGTAATTGATAAAAGAAGAAACTTATTCCGCCATCATGCTTTTCGATCAGAAAGAATTTGGTAAACAAGTAATTGAAATTATACATGTATTATTATACAAGCGGTCCAATCACAGAAAAGACAGATATGGTTAAATAAACTATCTATCATATTCGTAATCAAGAACATTCTTAAGACTTTTTAATTAAAGTCACCATACGGATCTACTTTTAATCATTTTATTAATCTCATCAAAATCTAATACTCTATATAATATACTATTTTTGACTAAAACACGCACGCTTCCTACTCGAAATGCGCCTGATGTTGCTAGCGACACTTGTGATCAATCATTAAAATCCTTAATCCTCCATTACCTACATTCACAAACCATTCCATGGATAATTATTACCAATTCAATTTCCTCACAATTATTACCAAGCCAATTTCCTCATTGAAACCACCTATGTGATCATTGGTTCTCGAGTGTTCAGGTAACCCAAATCGTTTATACAGTAAGAGGAAATTTAAAGCCATTATTTCCTTTTATCATATGCGTCACGTATCTAGTATATTGGTTAATTAAGCATTGGTAATGATTATATTCATCCTTGACACATCCTTGAATGACCTCATGTAAAAACTTTAAATTAAATTCAGGTAATTATAGATAAGTTGTTAAGGGTGATTATTGTAAAATTAGAACCAATCTAATACAAATTCGAGATACAAAATAATCCGACCGGTGACATTTACTACTGCATACAGGCATATAATAGCTCATTAATACTACTTACTTCTTGAAAGTTCATATAAGTCACGGAAATGAAACACGTGGTTTAGTTGTGAGGAGTTTATCTAGCAATGAAATAGAAAAGGAAGGGCTAAATTTTTACTGCTAAAAACTGGAAAGATGAATATTTAGGTTCTACTAAACGTTTCCATAAAAATGGTTACATGTAACACTTCTATATGAAATTCTCCACATTTGTTATGCTCAATAGTATGGGGAAGCATATAGTTTCTACAGAATCCGTCCGTCCTAAGCATCATCCGTCCTTCCATCCCAACTTTCTGTCCAGTTCATAACTTCGTCATTTATTGATGGGTTTTAAGATATTTTTTGTAGAACAATGAGACGCCTGTCATGTGTAGATCTAGGTTTTAATAAAAACTCAAAGGTCAAGGCCACACTTGAAACCAATTATATAACTTTTGTAGATCATTTAAGGTGCATACCAGTGAGATTTGGTAAAACTATATCTATTGGTTATAGATATCTTGTTTAGATAAATTGTGGATTATGACATATGACGCACATCATATTATTACAAAAACTAATATCAGCCTCAAAAAGCTTAGGAAGTGGTCAAGGAGTTGGTATAATGTAACGTGTGGTAAGAAAGGTTTACTTGATTAAAAAATATGGCATAAATAATTCCAGGCAAAGATATGCAACATGTATTTTAATCAAACATTAATGTTTTCAATCAAAAATATAATTATAATTCATAAACGAAACTAAACATTTAACCTTAAAATGCTTTAATTTAAAATTACAATGCGTTATTTATGCTATCAGTATGATGTCAGGTTAGTTTGCACATATTTGGAGTCCGAGTAGGATTTAAACTGTTGGCCTTTCACATTTATTGCCTTGACATCAAATTGCCTTCATTTTTTATTTCACAGTGTTTTTTTTTTAATCTATAGCATAGTTCCTTTATCTGTCATGTCCTTACCATCACATTCGCCATTACCAAGGTATATAACAGCTTGATTACTTTCTCCTGCGATTTCAGACATCATATTTATATCATCTACAACAGTTTCTTCTGCCATAACAACTAATTGGTCGCCTTGTATTTGATCCTCTTCACCATATCCTACAATCCCATCAACCCTTGCCCCATCAATCTCTTCATCTGTAAAAGTGTTTTGCATTGCAAAGGTTAACCCCTGTTGTAAAGATGTCGTGTCCGGTGTCAAATTTGATAAAACATGGACAGTTTCACTGTCAGACCTATCACCCATACTGACAATCTGGTATCCCTTGTTACTTGCTGATAAATACATATTAGATTCCCCTTTAGAATTTACCGCTCCTCTCCCATCAGATATAACTCTCACTTCTTTACTACAGTTATTAAATTCAAAAGTGCTGCCTTTCTGTTTACTTTTCAAATTGTCAGCCATGCTTGCACCTCCGCTGGATTTATAAATGTGGCCGTCTCGTAGGAAAATTTTCCTTACTGTGGGTATGACAGAAGGTCTACTAGAGAGTTCAACATGTGTGGCAATCATCTGGTCACCTGTAGGGGCCTCATTTATGTCTTTGTTACTGTTGACTGGTTCAAACAATGTACTAGGATCAGTCTGATCGATATAGAGAGCTTTTCTTTTATTATCAATCTGCTTCTTTCGCCAAATTTCAGCTTCAGCTCTAAATATAAAACATAACAATTTGAATACAGAACAATTTAATTTAAATACATAACAATTCGATTTGAATACAAAGCAATTTGAATACTTAACAATTTAAGTTCATTACTACTTGATTTCAATACACAATTATTTTAACACAATGTACATATCACTTGGAAAAAAATACACACAAAAGATATCTAAATCAACAGTGTTTAATCTTAACTTCAGAGATTTGCGTGTACATCATTGTATGTGCATCATTATTTTCAAGATTAAATATAAATATGAGCCCCGTCACGACAAAACCATCATTATGGGTTTGCGACCAGCATGGATCCAGACCAGCCTGTGCATCCCCGCAGTCTGATCAGGATCCATGCTGTTCGCTATCAGTTTCTTTACTTGTTATAGGGTCTGTAAGCGAACAGCATGGATCCTGATCAGACCGCGCGGATGCGCAGGCTGGTCTGGATCCATGCTGGTCGCAAACCCATTATGTTGGTTTTATCGTGACGCGGCTCATATAGTGTAGACAGCTCAAAAACATTTTTACTGAGTTGTAAGTTACACTGATGCTGTAACGTCAATGATCATAATAATTTTTTTCAGCTTTACTGGCAGAGGAAATTTTCTGATTCCCTTCTATACATTATTTCAGGCATTAGAGCTAATATGAGAGGAACCACTCACCTTTAGTAAACTAGTTGGATGGTTTCATCAGCTGTACCTTCAGAGAAGGGGACCATTATTATATCATTACAATTTATATTGCCAATGATTTTCATAAATAAACAGGGACATACAGAGAAAAAATTAAAAGGGCAACATCTTTATAGTTTTATAACACCCATGTCAGTGTTTGACTGTTTGCCAATGTGAAGTATCTGTGCACAATTCTCAGATTTTGTCTAAGTACATTTGTATAAATAATGTTGTTCTCCGAATATATATGCAAGTAAAATATAATAAAAACAAAAGCCGGTTGAACCGGGTGATGCTCCCCAAATAGGTTTTGGACACAGGAAGGTATACCTCTTATAGTGTCAGAGTTATGTCACAGACAAAGTCCAAAGTGTAAAAACAACCAAAATGTTGTGCACAACACATTGTCTCAATATGGTGATCATTTCTGTGAAATAGTTGTAAAATCCGACTTCACATAACGAAGTTATGGGCCGGACATGATTTTCCTGCAAGGTCATGCTGTGACCTTGACCTTTAAGGTAGTGACCAAAATGATGCATGTGACACGTTGATATGGTGATCAACTCTGTGAAATAGTTGTTAAATCCGACTTCAAGTAACGAAGTTATGGGCCGTATACGATTTTGTTGCATGGTCATGCTGTGACCTTGACCTTCAAGGTAGCGACCCAAATGTTGCAGGCAACACATTGTCTCAATATGGTGATCATTTCTGTGAAATAGTTTTAAAATCTGACTTCAAATAACGAAGTTATGGGCTGGACACGATTTTGTTGCATGGTCATGCTGTGACATTGACCTTCAAGGTAGCGACCCAAATGTTGCGGGCAACACATTGTCTCAATATGGTGATCATTTCTGTGAAAAAGTTTTAAAATCGGACTTCAAAAAACGAAGTTATGGGCCAGACATGATTTTGCTGCAAGGTCATGCTGTGACCTTGACCTTCAAGGTAGCAACCCAATTATTTTGCGCGACATGCGTCTGAATATGGTGATCATTTCTGTGAAATAGTTATAAAATCTGACTTCAAATAACAAAGTTATGGGCCGGACACAATTTTGCTGCAAGGTCATGCTGTGACCTTGACCTTCAAGGTAGCGACCCAAATGTTGCGCACGACACCTCATCTCAATATGGTGATCATGTCTGTGAAAAAGTTTTAAAATCCGACGGACGGACTGACAGACAACCCGAAGACTATATGCTCTCCCGAAATTATTTTCGTGGAGCATAAAAAGTGCTTATCATTAAATGAGCAAGAGTGTTATATGACCTTAGTATAAAGTGTTTATCATTTAATTAGCAAGAGTGTTATATGACCTTATTATAAAATGCTTATCAATAAATTAGTTGGAGTGTTACACTTACCTTTCTATCTCATGCTTTTTCAACATATGACTGTAATATGGAACTGGATAACGGAATCCATGACCACATAGATGGCAAAACCATTTCTTTTCATCTGCAAAGTAGATGAGAACATTGAAATAATGTAGATGTGTATAATTATGATAAAACACCAACAAAATGATGTTACTGACCTTCAAAATGTTAAACCATCATAGTGCATCCTTAACAATCTGCCTCAAGAATATATTTTCAGAATATTATCTAAATCTATAACAGGATTATATTTCCTGTATATGTTCTAAATCTGCAACAGTATTACATTAATTGTATTATGTTCTTGATCTGCAACAATATTACATTAACTGTATTATGTTCTTGATCTGCAACAATATTACATTAACTGTATTATGTTCTTGATCTGCAACAATATTACATTAACTGTATTATGTTCTTGATCTGCAACAATATTACATTAACTGTATTATGTTCTTGATCTGCAACAATATTACATTAACTGTATTATGTTCTTGATCTGCAACAATATTACATTAACTGTATTATGTTCTTGATCTGCAACAATATTACATTAACTGTATTATGTTCTTGATCTGCAACAATATTACATTAACTGTATTATGTTCTTGATCTGCAACAATATTACATTAACTGTATTATGTTCTTCATCTGCAACAATATTACATTCCCAGTATATGTTCTAGATCTGCAATAGGATAACATTTCTAGTTTAATTTTAATTATGTTTCTAGTATAATTTCTACCTCTGCAATAGCATTATATTAGATCTAGCATATACATTTTACATCTGCAACAAGATTACATCTCTAGCATTTTTTCCATACCAGTATCTGCCCCATACATCAACATCCCTCTTGATATACAATACAAGTACACTGCATATTTTCTACAGCTGCATTAAAGTTAAATCATAATATATCTTCTTTATCAGCAACAAGAATACATTTTCAGCCTGTTGCTTTTCACTCTGACAGCTAAATGTACTTTTAATTATCAATTTTCAATAACTTCTTATATATGGGAATACCCAGTACATGCAATTTTCTTTTGCATAATCATATGGTATTGCATGGTATATCTACAAGATGCCTTGTAATTAACCCTTATCATGCAATAATAAATAGACTTGTCCAGTTTTCAATCTAGACAAAACCATTCATCATTTCTAGGAAAAGTTTTAATACATGTACTGAATGAAGAGCAAACAGTGCAGACCATGATCAGACACTATGGACATGCATGCTGATCATAGTCTGAACTGGTCACATAAAGGTATAACCGGTTGCTGCCAGTCGGCTAATGGTTAATCACTAAAACATATGGCCTGTGTGATTATTTATCAGTGCACATCTGAACTTGAACCTTGTGATAGGGTTATTTCACTGCATTGCCATAGAGCATGTTGGAATATAAAATGATGCACTCAAAAAATCTATTTCCTGAATATGTGTTATCATCTGTAAGAGACTTACATTATAGCATACCCATATTCTATTTCTATTCACCTAAGACAGGCTTACATTAAATAGACTTTCCATTGTAATTAAATGCAATACCTATCATTTAATTACAGATAAGATTTTATTATCACTTGCAATTTGCATTGTAAGTCAACTTTGCAACATTTCACTAGGTTATTCACCTATAATTTTTTTTAACAAAATCACATACAATTTCAAATTCCCTGCTTATTCACCTACCAAAAAAATAACTAAATCACATGCATTTGCCATGATTATTAACCTGTCAGAAGTTTAAACACATCTGTTGATATTTCTAAATTAAAAATTTCACTATTTTCATGATTAAATGTTAAATTCTGCTTAAGCTGGTGCTAGAGTGTGTGGAGAGTAAGTTGACCTTTCCAGTACTATCATTAAACAGGCTCAATCAAACATTTTATCATTTTATTTGTTCTTTAGAGATTCTGTTTTTTTTTTTTCTATTTTACTCTTTTTCCCTTTAAACTGCACCTTTCTATAAAAACTTTGTTCAATATAAAGAATCTCGTTTATCATTTTAAATAATGTTTAATATTATTTTGAGATCAAATTGCCACAAAGTTTAATATTATTCTGTGGTCAAATTGTAACAAAAACATGCCCATTCCTATTTAGGGAAAAAATCTCCATATCTTTCCCAGCTTATTCAAAACAGTGCAATATTACTTTTTTATTATTAATAATACTACATTTGTGGCATGTTTAATTGAAATTAAAGATATAAATTAGTCTCAGTCTTTCATTAAATCTTAGATTTGTCGCATAATTAAACATAGCGGTAAAATTAATTGCAAATATTGTAAAACGAAAAACTGTTGAATACAGGGAAAATACAAAATCTACTATGACATGCCTCTTTTTTTTTTCTTTTTTATCAAATATGAATCTTTAATATCCGATTTTCAAGCCTTTAATAGGATTGTGCAAATTAATGGTAGAATTATGTCAGTAAACAACCCATCCCAATCTTATTGATTTCTTTAAAATTTCTGTACATATTTCTTTTCTTGAATTCTTTGTGGAAAAAAAACAACAACAAAAAAACTGCTGAGACAGGGCAAAATTCAAATCATGCCAAGAGACAGATTTGTAACTAACACAAATGATTTTTCCATTGATACCAAAGAAGTAATGAACAGTTTAATTTTTTGAGGTCACAAAGTAATATATGAGTTTCTAGCTTAATCGCACTGTACCTTTGCTCAGGCCATACAGAAGTAATCACTTACCTAGATTGGCTGTTCTGTCAAGATTGCTGTTCTGTGTTACCTACCTAAACTGCTGTTTTGGGTTAGCTACCTAGATTGTTCTGTGTTAGCTACCTAGCATGCTGTTCTGTGTTAGCTACCAAGATTGCTGTTCTGTGTTAGCTACCTAGATTGCTGTTCTGTGTAAGCTACTGGTACCTATATTGCTTTTCAGTGTTAGCTACCTAAATTGCTGTTATGTGTTAGCTCCCTAGATTCAATGGCTGTTCAATTTTAGCTACCTGGATTGCTGTTCTGTGTTAGCTACCTACATTGCTGTTCTGTGTTAGCTACGTACATTGCTGTTCTGTGTTAGCTACCTACATTGCTTTTCTGTGTAAGCTACCTAGATTGCTGTTCTGTGTTAGCTACCTACATTGCTGTTCTGTGTTAGCTACCTATATTGCTTTTCTGTGTAAGCTACCTAGATTGCTGTTCTGTGTAAGCAACCTTTATTGTTTTTCTGTGTAAGCTACCTAGATTGAGGTTTTGTGTTAGCTACCAATATTGCTGTTCTGTGTTGGCCAGCTACATTGCTGTTCTGTGTAAGCTACCTATATTGCTTTTCTGTGTAAGCTACCTAGTTTGCTGTTCTGTGTAAGCTACCTATATTGCTGTTATGTGTTAGCTCCCTAGATTGGCTGTTCAATTTTAGCTACCTACATTGCTGTTCTGTGTTAGCTACCTAGATTTCTGTTCTGTGTTAGCTACCTAGATTGCTGTTCTATGTAAGATACTTACATTGCTGGTCTGTGTTAGCTTCCTTAATTGCTGTTCTGTGTTAGCTACCTAGATTTGCTGTTCTGTGTTAACTACCTAGACTGATGTTCTGTGTTAGCTACATAGATTGCTGTTATGTGTTAGCTACCTAGATTAATTTTAGCTACCTAGATTGCTTTTCTGTGTTAGCCACATAGATTGCTGTTATGTGTTAGCTCCCTAGATTGGCTGTTCAATTTTAGCTACCTACATTGCTGTTCTGTGTTAGCTACCTAGATTTCTGTTCTGTGTTAGCTACCTAGATTGCTGTTCTATGTAAGATACTTACATTGCTGGTCTGTGTTAGCTACCTTAATTGCTGTTCTGTGTTAGCTACCTAGATTTGCTGTTCTGTGTTAACTACCTAGACTGCTGTTCTGTGTTAGCTACATAGATTGCTGTTATGTGTTAGCTACCTAGATTAATTTTAGCTACCTACATTGCTGTTCTGTGTTAGCTGCATAGAATGCTGTTCTGTGTTAGCTACCTAGATTGCTGTTCTGTGTTAGCTTCTTACCTTGCTTTTCTGTGTTTGTTACCTAGATAACTGTTCTGTGTTAGCTACCTAGACTGCTGTTCTGTGTTAGCTACCTAGATTGCTGTTATATGTTAGCTACCTTGACTGCTGTTCTGTGTTAGCTACCTAGATTGCTGTTTTGTGTTAGCTACCTAGATTGCTGTTATGTGTTAGCTACCTAGACTGCTGTTCTGTGTTAGCTACCTACATTGCTGTTCTGTGTTAACTACCTAGATTGCTGTTTTGTGTTAGCTACCTAGATTGCTGTTCTGTGTTAGCTACCTAGATTGCTGTTTTGTGTTAGCTACATAGATTGCTGTTATCTGTTAGCTACCTAGATTTCTGTTTTGTGTTAGCTACCTACATTGCTGTTCTGTGTTAGCTACCTAGAATGCTGTTCTGTGTTAGCTACCTAGATTGCTGTTATGTGTTAGCTACCTAGACTGCTGTTCTGTGTTAGCTACCTAGATTGCTGTTTTGTGTTAGCTACCTACATTGCTGTTCTGTGTTAGCTACCTACATTGCTGTTCTGTGTTAGCTACCTAGATTGCTGTTCTGTGTTAGCTTCTTACCTTGCTTTTCTGTGTTTGTTACCTAGATAACTGTTCTGTGTTAGCTACCTAGACTGCTGTTCTGTGTTAGCTACCTAGATTGCTGTTTTGTGTTAGCTACCTAGATTGCTGTTTTGTGTTAGCTACATAGACAACTGTTCTATGTTAGCTACCTAGATTGCTTATTCACATGTCAGTGACCTTATCGACATTCTGTCATGGTTGCCTCTAATAGAAATATTTATCTTGATGTCATAATTCTTCCAGTCAAGTTAATTGGAAGATGTCTTTTATTCTCCTAGAGTTTGCATTAAAGCTATTTGTCTGATGAATGTGTGGGAGAAGTTGGTGGTAATTTACCATAAATAAGTAAATTAAAGCAGCATGCCTCTAGATTCATGCTAACTTTCATGAAAATTTTGATAATGTATTTTAAAGAAACATATTGTGAAGTGAACAAAGAAAGTAACTTACACACTGAAAACAGCATACAGTCTCCTTTATTCTTAAAAATGATAAAAAAAATGCAAATATAGCCCTTACTGCCTTAGTCACCTAGTAGAAATATGGTGATAAATACTGCAAAAACAGTCATTAATCCCATGTAACATGTAAATTATTACTTGAATCTTGAAACTTTTTATTTTTCTTAAAATCTTAGTACATATTTCTCAAGCTTGATTTCCTTGGAATATTTTGGCTCATCTGGAGGTGTGCTGCTTTATATGTTCCCAAGCAGTGTGTGTTAAAGTAGCTTCATGATAAATTATGAACTATTACAAACTTCTGCTAAAATGGACTTTAGAATAACAAAATTATGAAAATAATAGAAATACTTATTTCCTTCCTTGTATATTCAAGTAGTCAATCTCCATTCTTTTAATTTATTCTTTTTTTTCATGTATTTTCTTGGGCTCTATTATTCAGTTGGCCCACCATTCTTAAAAGATTTACTAAGGAATGAGGACCATAGGTACATTTACAAGCAGACACATTTGTTTTAAAGTGTATAAAGCTATAAATCTGCTGCAAAATTTATTGTTTGAATTTCAAAATAGAATACTTTCAAAACGCTTGTATGAAAAAATAAGGTACATGTAGTAAATTGCCTTGAAAGGGAATGGCACATGCACAAAATTGTTGCTTAAAGTATAAAACCCTAAATAAAAAATAAAATAGCAGAATAATATTGTCTTCCAGAACGTTCTTTCTGATTACGTACAATATTCATGTGTGTTAAATAACAGAGGCATTCTATGTTACAACTCTTTCGAGAATCTATCATAAGTTTACGGAACCAAGATAATTATATTGTTGATACATAATTTAAACAAATTTCAAAACATATAGCTTTATACCCTTTAAATCAGCACGCCTCCAGATTCATGCTAATTTTCATGAAAACTTTAAAATGTTTTTAACAGTAAAATATTATGAAGATACCAAAAGAATGCAATTTACACATTATCAATGGCACTTACACCCCATGTAAATTACCATAAAGAGGTCAAGATATGTGGAAATAGCCCTGCCTTAAATAATACTTGCAGCGTTAGTAACACAGTAGAAAAAATAGTTATAAATACTGACAAATCAGTCAATTATCCCACATAACAAGTAAATTATTACTAGAATTTTAAATCTTTATACTTTTCCGAAAATCTGAGTACATTTTTCTCAAGTTGGATTTTATCGAAATATATTTTCGTCGTCAGTTTGGAGGTGTGCAGCTTTAAGAAGAATTCCTATTCCATGGAACAAACACGATAATCAAACCATATAAAAGAGTAAGGTGAGGGAAAGGAAGCCACAAAATATAAAATTTCAACCACTTGGCATGCTGTTATATGCAATTACCTGTGTGAGATTTAAGATGTCTCTCTAAATCAAGTTTGACCTTGAATATTTTTTTACAGAACTGACATCTATGCCCCGGTCCAAAATGCCTCATCTTATGACACTTGAGATGGTCGGAGCGAAAGAAACGTTCCTGGCATATATCACATTCAAAGTCTCGTTTTTTATCATGAACGTGTTTAATATGACGTTTTAGATGACTGGCGTCCCTGCAAAGATAATAAGAAAACAAAATTGAGCCATGTCACGACAAAACCAACATAAAGTGTTTGGGACCAGCATGGATCCAGATCAGCCTGTGCATCCGCGCAGTCTGATCAGGATCCACGCTGTTCCCTTACCAACCCTATTACAAGTACAGAAACTGATAGCGAACAGCATGGATCCTGATCAGACTGCCCCCATACGCAGGCTGGTCTGGATCCATGCTGGTTGCAAACGCACTATGTTGGTTTTGTCGTGACGCGGCTGAAATATAAATGAAAAGGAACAATTAATGTGATCTAGTACATTCTTGCATAGCAGACTAGCGTTTCCGTGTGTTTAACCCATGCCGGAAATTTCATCTGGCATGGGGGGTGCCAGATGAGTCGCGTGCAGTACAATGGCGCGCTTAGGATGACGTCATTTTACTGTTATGAATGAAGTTGCAAAGTCATACGCTTTTGTAAGAAAATAGTTACGGCTGTAATGATATAAATTTCCGATGAAAACAAAGATAAAGAATTTAAATTATAATGGAATATTGTAGAATATGCAAGAAAAAATATCTGACATATGTTTGCGGTTCGGATCGGAATATCCGTCCCTCAGTAACCCGCCCATGGGCGGGTCACCTAGGGACGGATATTCCGGTCCAAACCGCAACATATGACAGATATTATTAATCTAATAAACTTGTTACTATAAATAGTAACAAATTGCGCATGATTTCACCTGATTTAGTGTGTCATTTCACCTGTGATCTAAATCTATCGTATTTAAAGTAATCAGTTCTGAACAATTATTACACCTATGAATGAACCGTTCCAGCCAAAGCACTTACTACTAGTCACAGAAATTAATTTACCTATTACCTAACTTGTAAAAATAAGCAGAAATTGTTTTTTCTCTGGTTAAGTTAGTAACATGATAGAATTCAGTTGACAGAGAGAGTAAATTCCTTCATATTATGCATAATACATTCAAAGTTTCACCTGAGTGGTCAATATTTACACATGGGTGGTGGAAATATGGCTGAGTGTTTAACATGTTGGACTAGTAATTAAAGGATTGCAGGCCCTCAGACTAGTAATCTAAGAATTGCTGACCACGTGGGTTCAAACCCTGTCAGGGGCAAGTCGTTGTTTCCTTGAGCAAGAAACTTTACACTCATTGCTCAGTACTGGTTGGAACAGATGCGAGAGTGTTTTAATAAGCTAATAGCTTTCAACACAATCAAAGTAAAATAAACTTGTATAAACTAAAACTAATAATAATGTAGTCTAACTGTAATACTTTCCCACCAAAAAATTTTTAACATCAGCCAAT